TTCCAAAATGTTTTTTTTAAGAATACAGGGATTATCTTGATGAATTATGCCAATCCTTTATGGGTATGTCTTCCAGAAACTCATACATAATATGGCACAGCCTGCTACTGTTGTTCTCCCAGGAAATCATCATCCCATAGCAAATTTTTAAGGGATCTCTTTATCTATCATAGCTAATTCCATTGAGAAAACTATCCACCATATAACTTGTCTAATTCTCTTTTTAATTTAAGTTAATAGCATTTAATTTAACTTAACTCTATTACCATGTCTTGTGATGATGAAGAATTACAAAAATTAAGCATGGATGATGTGAAGCAGCATTGCTCTACTGCTAATCAGTTTTATAATCCAATGGTGCCTTTGCAAAAGCAAGTGCTTAGGCTCACATAAGATGAGACATTAAAACTTCCTCTCCCCACTTAGTAGATCCTTTTGGGTTATATTAACATTGTTCTTGGGGAGGGGGGTTCTAAATCTCAGAAGCTTTTCAGCTGACAAAGACAGCATCTTCTGTAGCAAGTGGGCATGATCAGAGTCAACAAGGTATCTTTAGTGACACCATTTAGTATACCAAATAGTACTCAAAAAGCAGGTCCCCATATGAAAATATTTTGGGCACCCAATCTGGCAACTCTCTTTTTTGACTGGGAGCACAGCAACACAGCTTCTCAGCAAACATTGCTAAAATCCCACTGCAGATTCAAGGCTCTGCTGGGAAAAGCTGGACAATAATGTTTCCATTTGAGTATAAGTATAGACACCCTTTAAAGCAGGAACGGTTGAAAGCCTTGGTGCACTGCTAGAAATCCTCCAAACATTTCTACTGAACTGAATTATTTAATATGACAGAAAAGGAATATTATTAAATCGATAAGGTATTACATTCATTTATTTAGATTTATTATAGCTGCCCATTCTGATAAACTCAAGATGGCTTACAAAATCTAAAAATGTTATAAACAGTTAAAAAGCATATGACAATATAAATAGCCTGAACTAAAATAACCATTGTAGTAAGAAAGACTTATAACAGAAGACCCACAGTACATTAACCCCAAGCCTGAGTGAGGTCTTGAGGCTTTCTGGAACCTCAGAGAGGGCACTGTCCCTATGTCTGCAGAGATGCTGTTCCAGAAAGTGGGGCGACAGCACTGAAGGCATGCTTCTTTGGTGCCACAAGGTGACATTTAATAGAGGAGACTTGGAGTGCACCCAGTCTGTTCAAATGTATGAAGTGGGTAGAAACCATTGGAAATAAGCGGTTTCTCAAGTATCAATTGGAGAGAGGTGGTTCCTCAACAGCCCCACGTATAGCACATTGCAATCATCATGAGGCCACCTTAAATTGGATTAATTTTTCATTTTAACATAGGTAAATCGAATTTCATTTTTGCCTTGTTTATGCCCATTCTTTTGTCTTGGTTCTAGCTACTGTTTGGAAAATAATCACTATGTTGTCTCTCAAACAGCATGTATGCCTTGTGTCTCAGCCTCTTATATAGCCAGATATTCTTCTCCTAGAGTCAACCAGAACATTCTTGTATTGATCATATACATTTTCCTACTATTACTCGTGTATCTTACCTTTCAATAAAAAATATGGCTCTTTGTTTTTTATGAGTTAATCTTTTGTTTTCTTTCTTGCTCTATATCTCTTCTGATGTGGGATGAAAGAAGTCCATCTATATCAGTGATTATACAATAACGTGATTTCAAACTAATTTATAGTCCTTTTAAAGAATAAATCAAACTGTTTGATTTACACCTAATCATTTTTAATGCAATGTGTCCTCTTTAAAAAAAATATTGTAACCTGCAGCCTCAGCAAGGAACCTTTAATCCCCAAACTCGTTCTGTCCATTGGATTTGGACATAGACACATGCACTTTTGTCCCTGACTATGAGTAGGGCAGGTAATCATGGGGACGGATTTCAACTTCTATCAATAAACTGGTTAATTAAAGATTTTAGCACATGTAATATAGCACTTGCAATGTTTTAATTTTACAATGTTCTTTGCATACATAAAATATACATATAATATTTTATAATATATGTATATTATAGCATACAGATATATAAAGTCAAATTTATTTCTAATTACCAAAGAAGTCTTATGTAAGTATCTTTGTTTATCATCTTTATATACAGTAGCTGCTCATCAGAGAAATGTGACTCACAAATATAAAATATATTAAAAAACCCTCTAAACTTTTTCATCAACACAAATACTTGAAGTTAAATTTAGCTATTTATCTGTTACTAAGCAATTAATAGTTGGTTGAACTTTTATATTTGGTATGTGGAATATGCTAAATAAATATATGTATTTGGTATGTGATTAAATTTAATGAACCTCGCTCAAACTTTCTTAATACTGCCCATGCATTCATTTTCCTTCTCCAAAGACCATATTTATAAATTGAGACTGTAATGTTTTTACTTAAATTCTAACAAGCCAACAAGTACAGTTCTTCAATCTCCATGGTATACACAAGGAACCCCTGATCTCTCTCTTTTTTTTTCTATCTTTATGACAAATGTGACATATGATTTTGAGGTTATGAAATAAATACTGAAATGTTGCAAGAGATACTACTGGGTTTGAACTGTCAAAAGAATGAAAAGGCCTGCCAGACCACTGAAATTATGGAGAGAGGAGGAGATCATTTTTTCCATTTAGAAGAGCCTTGCAAGAAAAATGGCAATTGTGCCAGAGTGTGTCTATTTGAAAGAGTTTTTGCAAGAAAAATGGCAAGTGCATAGGTGTGTTTAAAGGAGGAGTAATAGAGAAAAAGATAGGGACTGTAGTAAAGGGCTTCAGAACAACCACTTTGGGACAAATGCAATATGACAGTGGGTAAAAGGTTGGAGGAGAGAAGATTTTATTGGATGCAGGAGGAGGCTGGGGAAAGATGGGAAGAAAAATTGGACACGGGGAGAAAATAAAGCAAGAATGTATAGAGGAGAATTGTGAAGGATCTTAGCCCAAATAGACAGCAGCCAGCCAGAATAACAAAGGTCTAAGTACAATACTCCATCTTGATGTGACCAGCTGACCACCACCAGCTGACCACCACCCAGCTGCCTCTGCCAACACACCTCAAATATATAATCTATACTTTCTAGAACCCTCTATAGATGTCAGGCTCCCAAAACCAAGAAAGACCCATTGTGATTCTTCAAAGCAGATTTCTTTATCGTTCCTCACCTATATACAGAATCTGTTGAGGAATTCGCAGAGCAATCCTTGAGTAGCAAGGGTGTGCACCTTGCTATATTGATGGTTTATATATTGCCAACCCAACGTTTGAGAGTAGTTAGGAAATAACACAGCCAACACACAAATACACTGAGTTGTGTTTACTTTCAGGAAATAGTAATAAGGCACAGTTCAATAAACAGTCCAGGTCATACACAGATAACGTAGTAGATAGTAAAACAATAGTCCAGGGATAATCCAATATACAAAGTCTTCTTACCAGTCGTTGTCGTCATACACATAAATAGTTGCAAACAGTAGCAAACACAGCAAACAGCAAATAGCATCAAAGAGCAGTAACGAACATCAAAGAGCGGCAAAGAGTCAAAGAGTCAGAGAGCAACAAACCATGTTTCTAGCTCCCTCTTAAGGACATTGACTAAAGTGCTAACCAATCATGACACAGGATGACACAGCAATACAGCAGTCTTAAAGCTATATTGATGGTTTATATATTGCCAAACCAACAAGTTAGGTAAAATCATTTCCTAACAGAATCCAAAAGCAAATTTCCAGCCTCATAAAGCATATACTCTGAGAATTATTAGGGAAGAGCCATCTTGACCCTCTCTCACACACAAACTGACTTATCTCTTGTTCCTCTGGAATGCATTCCCTGCCTCTTGGGGGTCCAGACTACATTCCATCACAATAGATGATGGACTACCACCTACTCAACAGCATTGCTCCTAAAGGAGAAGTTGGAGGCAGAGGTGGGTTTCGCATAATTTTATCACTGGTTCGCCACACACTGAAAATGTGAGCACGTGCACGCTCGCGCGCCTTCTGTGCATGCGCTTTGCTTGCACACGGGGCTTGCACGCATGCACGCGGCTTAGAAAATGTGGCTAAATAGGACAACATAGCACCAGGACAGGTGGGCAGGCGTGGGCCCACCTGCAAGTTGCCACTACCGGTTCGCCTGAACCGGTCTGAACTGGCTGAATACCACCATTGGTTGGAGACCAGGGGGAAGTGATCAAATACTTTTAAAGTGGGTATCACTACACTTTCCCCTTACCCAACTGTTCATGCCCTACCTAGCAACCTGCAGGAACCAGGACAGAAATGAATTAAACAGACAAATGAGACTGAGGACCTGAGGACCTATAGGCTGAGACTATAGAGGACCTTTCCACTTGCTCCAGTTCCACAAACTTAAATGAATCCCAGACTACATCAGGAGATTTGCCTCACTCTACACAGTTGGGAGTCTATTTGCATTCTAGCCACCATGCTGCCTCAAAGCAGCTCTTCCTGAGTTCCTGGACCTGATTTCTTGGCTGATACTGGAATTCCCCCAGTTACTTTGTAGAGGCTAAAGTTAGAACATGGACAACAGTATTACGTTTCCTTCTCACATGATTGCTCTTTAGAAACTGAGCCAGAGTGAAACCAGAGAGAAGCCATATTATGTAATCTATTTAGATAATCTGCTTAGAGATGAATTCCTAATATCTGTCACTTCTATAAAGCACTATTAACAGATTCTAAACAAGTTTGAAGAAGTAAGCTAAACTAGTATGCATGTTCAAGGGACTTTTCAAATGTATATTATACAGTCTATACAAGTCCATGATCTAATGACACATAAATATGTATGCTTTAGAATAGTGAATAATGCTTAAAGCTATTTATACGGCTGGAGTGGCTTGTCTGAACTACTGCTGACATTTGTAATTGAATATTCCTTCCTTCCTGTGAACTTAAAAAAAAGTAAAGTTTAATTACTTACTCTGGTTTTCTTCTTTGTCACTGTAAAAAGAAAATCCGTAACTAGTACTAGAGTAATTCAGTCTTTGCACCTAGAGACAGGTTCTAGGAAGGGACCCGGAGTTCATAACTGTCATGACTATCTGTAAGAGATGACCAGGCTAAGCCCGAGAGAGGGGTCAAATGTGTTATTAGTCTTGAGTTTCTTCGCACCCACAAGAGATCTAAGTCCAGCCCACCTTGAATTCCATTGACTCTTATCTAGCACCAATTTCCTTTGACCGTTAATAATGTAATATTTAGTCTGAGACACAAAAATTGATGCATGCTAGACCTTGAGCTTACTTTGGAATGGTTGTGGTGTGTGATCTGGGTATGGGAGGACATTAGACGAAGTCCTTTTGATTGTCACATACAGATAGTCCTTGCTTAATGATAAGTTACTTAGTGACCAAAGTTATAGCAACTCCCCCTTCCCAAAGGAACTTCCGTCCTAGTTCTGGAGTTCCAGCAGTGGCACATATATCTCATGGTCATGTGACTGCATTTTGGGTCCTTGGCAACCAACTTGCATTTATTTGCAACATCCTGTGATGTGATCACAATTTTCTACATTTTTGCCAGGGCTACCTGTAATTCCTGGACTAAATGAGATTTCTTACTGGCCACTCCTTGTGTGGGGTGGATGGATTTATTTGGATGGTATGTCCCAGGCATCTAACAAATCTAGAGGGTTTCAAAAGGCACTTGAGGATTTTCCCTAACTGGTAAGCAATTCTGCTAGGTATTGTTGTGACCCCAACCCGGAGGCTGATTTATCTTCGCATGCTGAGTCAGAGGATGATATGGAGGAGGAGGAAGCTGTCACGAGCTATGTGCCAGAGGGGCCGTCTTCACTGGTGAGTCAGCAAGAACTGACAGTTGCTGACGTGCCTCTGGATCCCAGCCAAATTGAGGAGGAAACAGAGGCCGGGAACAATGAGGGGGAGCCCCTATTGGATGCAAGAGAGAGACGTAGGAGACATCGTAGAAACAACTATTGCCATGTCCCAAGAGGTGTGGTTAGGAGACGTAGGGCTACACCCTACAAAGTATAAAAGGGGTGTGACTGGGCTGGAAAGGCGTGGTGAACAATTTGTTGGCGTTTTGGATGCAGTGGATTTACAACTGTTAGTTTGGAGTTTTTTTGACAAGAGTCTGCATTCCTGCATTAGTCTGCTGGCCGTCTGCCAAGGCTTTGGAACATTGCCCGGTAACTATTGGACTGATATACTCTTTGGAAGAAAACTATTTATTAAAGGGCCAGCTTCAGCCTCTCTAGCCTGCATTTGTTACTGCCGGGCTATTTGAGCCTCTGCAAGGCCACTCGTGGGAGGGGACAGAACAGGTATCTGGAATTTGGAAATTCATGATTGCTTTCTATTTGTGGGCTAATTTTGGGCTTACAAGAACTTTAGAAGATGAAGCTGTAGAAGATACCTGAAGCACAAATAAAGGAAGATGAGTGAACATTAGGTGGGAGCCCATGTTCAAGCCTCCATTGTGGCAATAAGAAGAGTGAGAAATGACACTAAGAAACGGCACTGGACATTTGGTTCAATGACTTTTGTAAGGGTCTCAATTGGAGGGAGTGATTATTGTATTATTCTGGACTTCCTGCAAGGGTTGGGAATTGCAGGCACTATGCTCCAGTGGTTCCATTCTTTCCAAACCAGACAGTCCCAGTTGGTAGCAGTGAGGAAAATAACGTCTCTCCCCTGTTGTCCATAGGGCTGCCTTTGAAGCACCACCCAGAAATTGATCCAAAAAGCAGCAGCCCATGTATCAGTGAAGCAGAGTTTCTATAGTCATCTAAATCCTATTTTGGAGTAACTTCACTGACTGCCAATAGATTTCTGAGTGCAGTGGAATTTTAATTTATAATTCCCTTTAGGCAGCTTCAGGGCTGCTCTCCTCCTTCACACTCGTCAAAATCTATTGATTTTGAGGGTAGGGTCTCACAGGCAATGTTTCTTGGTTGCAGCACCTGCACTAAGGGTGGGGGATCCTTGCTGCTGGCTTTCAGGAAATTATTCCATAAGGCATTGAGGAAATAGTATGGTCATGACTATGTTTCCTACATGGTTTTAATTCTTAATTTTATCTGTTTTATATATCAATTTAACTTGCAACTCCACTGGTAGTTGCTTGGAATTACAGCAGTATAAAAATACAACAGATTATAAATATATTCCTTCCATTTATTTCTTATACATAATTGAAAGAGGCAAAAGAAAAAGAAAAAGCATATTTATCTTTCAGCAGTCTCCATTTCAATGTTCTACAAAAAATGATCAAGTGCTAGTCCCACTATGTTGTAGAGAAACTGAGATTTTCAATTCTGGTACAACAGTGACACTTAGTGAATTTAGGAGACATTAATTTTATTTGCTGACTATTTGCTTATATGAGGAAAGGGAAGGGGAAACAAATAGAGAAATGGAAAAAAAGGGAGGGGGGGCATTCAAGAAAGATACAATGACAGAAACCACAAAATACCTATTTCTACATACATAGCTTTAAATATATCAGTGTTCAGGAAGCTTACTTTTTGAGGGATCTCCTTTTAGGGCTAAAATTCCAAGTGAAGCATCCTGACCAACCCAACTGTTATAATCCATTTTTGCAGGCATGAATGAGAGGCAACATTTCCTTCCTCCCACAGGTTAGAAAAGAAGAAACACACCAATTAGCAAACCCAGGGAAAACAAAGGAAATGTGTCCCCTTCAGCCTGCTAAGGCAATTGCCTCTCTTTTGTGTGTGCGTATTGGGGGGTGGAGGGTGGGGGAGGCTGAAGCAAGCAATTTTTTTTTCATTAAGGAAATTGATTTTGATATTTTTTGGGCAGGTGAAGCACACTTGTTAATTTGCTATCCCACCCTGCATGCTATTAGAAAAGCTACAAAGACCATGCATGGTATTAAAGTAAAACAAGGAAACTATTCCATTGATTTGCTGTTTCACTCAACTCGTTCACTTTGCAAGGGGTTGTGGTAAGGGAAGCAATATTTCTTACCTGGAAGCAGTGCCCAGCTTTAGGCCTTTTTTAAGGTTTAAGAGGTGAAGCAAGGTATTGTCTTCTGCAGTTTATCAACTTACTCACCAGGGGGAAAAAAAGGTGAATATACCACACAAAGGAAAGAGCCAGATGATGCAGATGAAACTATCTTCTCCATCCTGCTGTGAAACTGCATCTTTCTTTCTAATATTAATGGGGAGAAGCTTTGAAAACTAAGTGTGAACCATGGAAAGATATGATGCTTGTTAGCAGTGACCCAGCAAATCTGCCCAAAAAGATGCATTGTGCAAGTCTCTTTTTCTGAGTCAACCTCCCCAGATAGCAGACATGAACATAGTGATCTTACTAGATGTTTCAAATGATTGATTGAACAGGACTTTTACATTCAGATCAAGGGCTACAATTGCCTTAAGTTAGAGAAGGTATTTTTTCTTATCTCCCATCTCTAGCTTAAAATCAGACAAGGTGAATTTAGTAGATGGTCCTGTTTAGTGTTATACATGCAGCCATATATGCAGCCATTCCTGCCAACTCACTCGTACTTTCTAGATCAGTGGTGGGTTTAAAATATTTTTACTACCGGTTCTGTGGATGTGGCTTGGTGAGCGTGGCATGGCTTGGTGGATGTGGCTTGGTGAACATGACACGGGAAGGATACTGTAAAATCAGCATTCCCACCCCACTCCAGGGGAAGGATACTGTATCCAGGGGAAGGTTACTGCAAAATCCCCATTTCTTCCCAATCAGCTGGGACTTGGGAGGCAGAAAATAGATGGGGGTGGGGCCAGTCAGAATATTTACTCCCGGTTCTCTGAACTACTCAAAATTTCTGCTACCGGTTCTCCGGAACTGGTCAGAACCTGCTGAAACCCACCTCTGTTCTAGATGCTGCATATGGAAAAGGCAGTGAATTCATCTTATCACTTATTTGCATTCTCAGTGGCAATCGGGTGGGGAACTAGTCCAACTTGTCATATCAGCCAGTGAGAAAAGATTAGAACAATAATCAGGGAAATGTGAATTGGCAGGGGTTTATTGAACACTACACTACACTTTAAAGAAGATCAGCTCTGGGTTGATCTAACTCAACCTCTGATTGCTGCAGGAGCCACCACAGCATCGAGACTATAGCAAAAGGATACTTCATATTCTGTTGGTTGACAGCTCATACAATCAGGCACTGATTCACATAACAACTGTGGCAAGAAAAGTCATAAAATGAGACAAAGCTCACTTAAGAACTGTCTTGCTTAGTAACAGATAATTTGAGTGTAATTGTGGTCGTAACTCAAGGACTACGTGTACTCGGGCCTCATATTTTTCCTGCCCAAGTTCAGAATTTTATAATCTTCCCTGCTAAATTCCATCCCATTCATTTCAGGTCACTTCTCAAGCTTGTCTATAGATATTTTAAAATCTTGTCTTTTATCTAAAGTATTAGCAGTCCCACTCAGCTTTGGGCCATCTGCAGACTTTTTAAAAACAGGTAGCCCTTGACTTACTACCAGTTGCTTTGAGACTGATCAAAATTATAATGGAGCTACCTTGGGGCTAGCTATGGCCTGGATTTGAAATTCTGAAGGTAACTCCCCAATTGTCATGTGACCAAACTTCCAGTGCTTGGCAACTGGATCGCATTTATGGCTGTCTGCAGTATCCTGCATGTGACTGTGTTTCACAATGGTTTTGCCAAAACCCAGCATTTACTTCCAGTTTCCTGCAAAACCGCATCCATGGCAAACCATGGGTTTGTTGAACAACTGCTATGTTCAATGACTGCCACAAAAAAGATAGTAACGCTGTGTTGATCAAATGATTCACAACTTATGATCATGATGGACAGACTCCATTATGTAAATCAGGGACTATCTATATTGCTTCAACATCCCCACCCAGCTACTGATAAAAAATGTTGAACCGCAGAGTTGTCTGGCCCTCCATTAGGTAGAATCCTCCCCCAAGTTGGAGCCATTAATGATCATTCTTTGGTGTGGCTGTTCACTCAATTGCGAGTCTATCATCTAGTTTATAATTTAGCATTTTGTGAAAGGGAATATAATCAACACTCCATCCAAGGCTTTGCTGAGTCCAATTACAATCTATCTACAAAATTCCCCAGATTTACTATGCTAGTAACTCCAACAAAGAAGGAAATAACATAATCTGGAATGATGCGTTTACAATAAATCCATGCTGGCTCCTATTCATTGTAGCATGCACGTTGTAATGAATAATTCTTCCCACTGTATTGCAGAGAGGAATATGGGGTATACTCATGTAAGTACAACCTTCCTGAAAGGAAGGAAAGGTAATCAAGCATGGGGTGAAGATGTTTGTCCCAGAGAGAGAAGTTCAAGTTCAACTCCATGTAAAGTAACTGGATGAAGATGGGTTAATAACTCCCTTTCAACCAACCTATCCAGCGGGCTGTTTTGGAAGTATACCATATATGGGAATCTATACCACCACCATGGGTTCCTGGAAGAAAGGCAGGGTACAGAACAAATAATCATGGAAGACAAAATATCCTGCTCATGGTTTGAAAACAGCAACAGCTTCTCATACATTCGCTGTGGAACATACACTTCTGGGGGCATTTGGGGCCAGCTGCCAGTACAGGACAGCAGTGACTACTCAGATTATTGCTTGATAATATCTCTGGGCCTCTTCTGAGAGCATCATATGTCATGTATGTGAGATAGGTGGTTATATAAATGTGATGAATAAATAAATACATCTGGGGCCACCTGTCAATACAGGGTAGCAGTGACTCTTCCTATTATAACTTCTCTGGGCCTCACCACCAGCTTCTTCAAAGAGAGGCCACGAGTAGCAAGGAAAGCAGCTGGGTTTTTTTTTCCCTTCTAGGCAGCACCCTCATCTCAATTTTTCCTAGCACGGTGTCCCCCGAGAAGCTGTGCAAAAGACAGAAGTAGACTCTTTTATCTTTTGCACAGCTCTACCGGGTACAGCAAGCTTTCTCTTTCGCACACTTCCAAACTCCTAAATTCCTAGGGGTTTGTACACCTTTGCCTATTTCTTGTCGGGAACGGGACAACTTACCACAGCCAACTTGCTGGGGCCAACTCACCACAGGCCAATTCGCCACGGGACAACTCGCTATGGGTCAATTTAACAATTCTATTTAAAATAAAATAAAAAATATGTTCATGTTTGCCATTCATTCTGTCCCTCCTTTTCTATCCTTTCTTTCGTGGTCTGTTTCTTGGATATCAGTATAACTCTTGTTTGTCAGTTTGTCCTGTGGCGAGATGGCCGTGGCAAGTTGTCCTGCAGTGGTTGGTTGGCCATGGCCAGTTAGCTGGGATGAGTCGGCTGTGGCGAACTGTCATAAACCCTTTCTTGTCGGCTTGCGCTACAGGAGCTGGGAATGGAGGAGAACGGCCGTTCATCGCTTACTTGGGCACCTGTCCTGTTGCAAAAAAAAGAGAGAAAAAAGCACTACGTAAGGTGGTCCCCGTTCTTCTTCTTCTTAGCGGGAAAGAGCCAAGAGAAGGTAACGCGGGGACGCGGACGCGGCCACAATTCTACCCCGCAAGCGGGGGAGGTGGGGGGCGCTCGCGCTCGCGGCCGCGTCCCCGGGGAGCGCGCGAGTGGCTTGTGTTACCTTCCCAGACGGCGTCTCCTGTCTCGAGCCGCCTGAGGAATTTGTACCAAAAGGTGCTCGCGGCTTCTTCCTCGCCGGGCAGCGCCACCTCGCCGAGCCACAAGACTGGTTCTTGAGCAGGCAAGGGAGCCAACGGCCGGCTGGGCTTCATAACCAGCGCGCGCTTGGGATCCCATTGTCCCAGCTCAGGCCGTGACCCCGACACGCAAAGCACCGTCCCGCCTTCAGCCAGACGGGCGGGAAGAATCACCCCGAAACGAAACAGCATGGGCGCCCTCGGACCCAGCAGACGGAGAGCAAAGACCCTGGGGGGGGGGGGGGGGGGGGGGGGGGGGGGGGGGGGGGGGGGCGCCCCCCCCCCCCCCCACGGCGGGGGGGGGGTGCCGGTGACGTCAGCGGCGGCTGCCGCCACGTTCTATGGAGCGAATAGGGAGGAGAAAGGCGGGTAGGATTGGCCGGGAAAGGCCACGTGACTTGGCCGGCAAAGAAACTTTCGTAGCTACAGCGCCTCTCTTCGGCCTTTACTCTGCGTTCGCTCCCCGAAGAATCGAGTTCCGAGGAGTCTGTACGATTTAGGAAAGCCGCCGAGTCCTATAGTGAGCCCCGCTCCTCCTGCAGAAGGAAAGGGAAGGAAAGGGAGAGAAGTGCCCGCGTTTCTCTTTCTCCGCCGACGGGAGGGGAGACTCCGAGGACGGTGCGCAGCGCAACTCCCAGGAGGAAGAATCGCCGCTGATTTAGGGGAATTTCCTGGGAGCTTGATAAGAAAGACCCAAATAGCCTGGACGCCGCTTAGATTTGTCGAGATTAATCAAACGGACCTGGAGACTACCCTAGCTTTCCCACTCCAAAGCAGAATAAATGTCTTGCTGCCAGATATGAAGGCAGGCTCCCAAATCAAAGGTACAAAACCACAAATCTCGCGGATTCCAGAGTCCTTCCAAAAGTTGCTGTGGATGTAGAAGTTTTAATGGAATTGGAATTTTTTTTTTAACTCCATGGGAATAAGCATCTCTATTGTGTTTACATTATTGTAAACAGTGAAATTTATTTTCCTGAACTCGCCTTCCTGTTGAAGGGTACTCCATCTGTATGTCGTTTAAAGGCCAAGTACGGCCCATTCCCCCCAAACTTGTACCCACCCAAGGAAGTAATTCAATCCTCAAAATGTAAATGCGTACTCTACATAAATGTTTGTTACTTTTTTAAGACTGAGGTGAAAGAATGAAAATACCATCATTTAGTGAAATAAGACATATATTCCTCTAAATTTCAAAACTCATGAGATCCGATGATGGAATCCAGGTTACATTAGGTTTCTTGGAGCCTTTCTTCTGCCTTCTCTTAGATTAGTGGACAAAGCATTTATTATTTCATGGTGTGTTCTCAAATAATTTATTAAAAGCTTGAATCAAGTACTGAGGTACATAAGAGAACAAATCTTCCTATGAAATCAGGAAGTTGTTTTGCAAATCTAATAGATGACATTTGATCACATGTAACTTTTCATAATCTTGTCTCTCTGTAAGATTATATCCAAATTATGCATTTTTGCTACTGCACATTTGCTTAACAAGAAAAATATATACTGTATTTCTTGCTAAACATCAGTATTGGATATTACACAACAGTCTTATAGAGGTGAAGGTCCAAAATTATGTGTCTGACACTTAACACTTTATTGGCAAGGAAACACCTTTTGTTATTTGGACAAAGCTTTATTAAATTTGTAAACATCCTTAGGGAAATGCATTTTATTGGCAAAGAAACACCTGTTGTTATTTCAAGAAAGCTTTATTAAATTTGTAAACATCCTTAGGGTGATGCAGAACTGGCTTTGTAAAATAATGGAAAATTTATGCCATAATCTTTTGGATGGCTACTTAGAACTGAATTGTCAAACTCTATTAATTTTTAAAGGCCAAAATTATTTGAAGCCAATGCGTATGATTGATCAGTAGGTACTGAAACATCTGACTGAAGTTCTCATTACTTAAAGGAATTGCCAACTATTACTAAAACTTCATTTATTTCCGAGAAAAGTTGTGAATATTGGCTGTTTCAATAAAGTAATGACCCAGGACATTCTTTGTTGCAGTGTTTTTTTAACCAGAATCTTTTCATATGTTATTAGGAGTTAAATTATTACATTGTAGCTCACACAGCATTGCAGAAATATAGACAGTTCTAAAGAGTTCATAGGATTGATCAATATATTAAGTCTAAACAATAATTGTTAGCAGATCATATTACTTTCACCTTCTAAAATATCTTTGTTTTTAAAAATCTAATTTTAAAACCTGTAGATTATAAATAAACAATTTATGACAGTATTTCCACAACTGACTAATCATAGGGAGTTCAGTAGTTAACAGGCAATATTGTTAACTATAGTGCTAGTGTTAGAATGAAATACTTTATTTAGCAACAAGTACTTTCAAAATACAAGTTTTCTTCATACGTTTTAATTTACATTTTCAGTTAATGACACACTAAACCAGGGGTCCCCAATCCCCGGACTGACACCAGTCTGCAGCATGGCAGAAACTAGGGTGCGCAAACAGGCAAAGCCCCATCCACGGGATGAAGGCAGCATGTAAAACTATGCCCCTTCCAGACTGTAGAAAAATCTCTCTACACAGAACCAGTCCCTGGTGCCCAAAAGGTTGGGGGCCACTGCACTAAGCTATGAGAAATGCTAATTCCAGCAATAAAATCATATTTGATAGTGCTGTTGCTTCACCTTAACTAAGTGTGGAGATTTACTAAAGAAAATGTTATTTCTCAAATTATAAATAAAAATCATGTGCTAAACAAAGAAATGTCAAGTGTTTTTATTAGTTATACTAAACATTGCAAAAAACAGCATTAAGTGAACATTAAAACAATATAATGGACTGCCAGTAAGAAAAACAGCTGTATATGTGAAGTTTTAAAGGCAATTCAAATGGAATAAACGGAGAGGTTTCAGTGTAAGTTTAATATGGAAAGAATACTATTGTAGAGGAAATTAAGTACTGACAAACTATTACTTTGGAAAACTGCACAGCAGTATAAAATACTGATATCCTTTCATTGTATTCCTGTTTGCAAGAATATTTTAAAATACTCTTTACAGCAATAATGTTTAATAACTCAGGAATAAAACAAGAAACAGTATTAGAATTTGAAGGCAGAAATGCAAGTAATATTAAGAATGAACTGTTCAAAATGCTTAATGTGAAAAAAATAAACCAAGCATTCATTATAGATTAATCCACACTTCTTTAGAAGCCAAGAGATTTCTTGAATACTGCATGAAGCCTTTACAATTACAGCATACTCCTCACATAAGGGCTGAGGTATACGGTATTTTGCCCATCTGTTCTTGAGGAAAAGGTAGAATGGTTTATGTATTGGTAAAATATTTGATGAATAACAATATATGCATAAACAGCTTCCAACACCTGTGGAATGAATATTCTTGGTTGTTTTAGGCTAATAGTACTTTTTCTGAAGACAGGCATACATACCCAGAGATTACAAATGAAATCTCTGTATATATCAGGGTCAAGTTTCCTGGCCGGAGGCATAACCTCAGTCAAAAAATCCAATAGGTTATCAAAACTATTATGATGATGATGTACCTTTCATTCTTTTTAAACTGCTAAAATTAGAAGTGTTTTTGCAGCTGAAGATTCTACTAATTGCAGGAAACTTTTTCTCCTATGTTCTTCAAAGAGAAAGGCAACATTGTGAAAATAATTAACTGATCCCAAGATCCAGGCATTATAGAAAATGGCTATATAAAATATATTCCTTAATGATCTAGCTATATGGCACTAGAGAATGAAGCTTAGCTTTTTTTAAATATAACTGCTTAATGATAAGACAATTGCTTTCCAGATTAAATTTATATGTCAACAGTCTTAAATCCATAGTCTTAAATCAAGTATATTTAAATGATTTAATTACATATTACCAATATATAGTTAACTTTCCAATACTTTCTTCTTTAAAACTGAAACATATTATTTTTAAATAAACTTGGTTTTTTAAAATTTGTGGCACCAAGCTCAATAAACTAGTTGTATAGGTATTAAAGCTTTTGAATAATATTAACAAAGGCATTTTGTAAGTAGAGAAAACAATCACCAAAATTTCTTCATTATGGAAGACTATGGAAAATATGAAGTTATGAAATAAACATTTAAAATACACTTCTTATCCAATGAATTAGTTCTCATCTTATAAAGATGGCATATCAAGAGCACTATCCTAACCACATTTGCTAGGACAGAAATTCCAATGGAATTTAGTGTACTGAGAATGAGTCCTAAACACTCTATAAAGTAGCCTTGAAACCACATGGTACATCCAGACTTGTTAACATTACAGAATGTATCTTAACACCATAAAACTTAAATGTATTAATCTAAGTATTATGAATCCTGTATAGCTAACTACAGCAAACAATACAATTTTTTCAAGATTACCTTTTATTAATAACAAACAATGAAAAAGGGAAGAAAGTATACTGATCCAAAATTCTAGCCTAGGTATTTAGAGCCTGAAATAAAATAGAATTTTGTTCCATTGAACTGCTAATAGTAGCAATTTGTGTTGAATTTCAAGAGAAGGTACTATTAGGAAAAAAAGTTCTCTCTCAGGATTCGATAGGATTTTGCTGCATTAAATTAGAAGTTTTGATGCTAATTCCAAATACTTGTGGATTATGCTCCTATTCATTTGCATTTAACACTAAAATCACACTTTGCAATCTTAACAAGAAATGACATTAAATAACACTGTATCAGCTTATATGAACACAGCAATCCATAGAATGAAAAGAATCAAAACATATGCTGCTAAATTTCGACTAGCATTCAATGTTACATTCAAATTTGCAAAGAGACAAAATTATACAAAGACTTCTTGTTTGGATGAGCATGTCTCTTGAAGTCAATAAAAAGAAATGGATAAATTAGTCAGGGAAACGCCAAAAGAAAGAAAACCTACAAATGATAAAAAGTCATACAGAACTCCCCTGACCAGCAAGTTCCATTTTTAAGGCAATTTTTGTTGATTCTAACCAGACCATGTTATAAAAAAATAAATGCCACTTCAAAACATTATGTACATTATGACAAATTTATCCAGAAATCATATTTAGTAAATTAATAAAGTGTCACAAATTATCATCCGGAGGTTATTTCAGGTGCTTGAGTGTGCAAATAGTATTCTTCATCTTTAAAGTACAGGCTTCAAGACTGAGCGCAACGACCGTCCTTCTTTTGTTAGTTCTCTTGTGACACACATACACGGCAGTGGAACAGCTTCCTCCCGTTTCTCTACAGCATTGTAACTGCATTTCTTCAAATGATCAGCCATGCTTACAATGTCTGCAAATTTCCATTCATTTACAGTACAAAAAGCTGTGCTGAATCGCCATACCTAAAAAATAAATTTCTCTTAGCATGATGATATATTAGGACTCACTCACATGCAAGCCATGTAGAACTGGCATTTATAGCACAAATGTTAACTATAGATTATTATTATTATTATATTTTTTTAAAAAAAGAATCTCCAAACACCTTTTCCTAGGAAGAAGAATGTAAAAAAATGTGCCACAAATTTTAGTATAAACATTAAAAAAACCACCCTGCAAACTAATATGGAAATTTGATGACATACATTTACATGTATTCCTTTATAAAATGATAGACATATTGTCTGATAAGGCTTTGAAAAAGTGACCTGATTTCCCAAATTTCCATTTGGTTTTCCGATTTTTAGGAAACACATTTTTGGTTGCTTTCTCTTAATTTAGCTAATCTGATACTGAAAATCTGGATACAGAAAGCAGCTAGTGAATATTGTAGGGCAGATACCTGTATGCCCATCCCCTAAAAGTTGAACTCTTTCTTGTATTTACTATTATATTAACTATATTTAGTTATACTATTCTCCAAGTTGTTTCTATCTCACCGCTCCCATACTCTAGACACCTGCCTCCCACAATAGCACCTGAGAGAGAAATATTGGAACAACTCAATTTTTATGCAAAGGTCATCCCAATTCAAAACAGAGGTAAGCAAGTTCTCACAATTAAATATACAAACCTTTTCTTTTATTTGCCATGAAAAACTTCCATCTGGATATATCCTCTTTTCCCACAACAGGATGACCATTCCACGTGCCTGAAGTAAGCTTCCACACACATCCCTCATTAATCTTGACACTTGTGACAGCTGGCATAAACTGAAACCATCTAGAAAACCTGCAATGTGTTGTAGGACCTCAAAAGGAAGATTACTCAGATTGTCACTATGCAGCCCTAAGCAGCATCTCTTATCAGGCTCTGACAACACAGTCGATATAGCAGGCTGAACCCCAAAGGACCGAAGATGCCGATCATGAATAATTTTTGCGCCTTGTGTTGAAGGACAAAACCTGCGTTGAGAATATGTACATCCATAATATGCCAAAGGACATCGCTGCTCCATCCAGCCATTTAGGCCAGCATGAATATCACCGTGTACATTCTTAAAATGTGAAGAAAATTCATTTCGTCTAAACAGTTGTCCACAGACAAATGTAAACATTGAACGCTTTGTTTGGTATCTAGTCACACATTCTAGTACCAGGTCTAGCCCAAGAGTCTGAAAAGGGCTTGGATTTGAGAGCTGTGGATTTGCATGATCACACGCAGATGCTGAAGCAATTTCCCCTACCATTGTATTTGTGGCCAGAATTGCAGAAGGGAGAGAAAATGTCTGAGTCCCAAAATCAACATGGTATCCATCAATAATACGACAATCTGATATTCCCCTGCCACCAGGAGAATCTCCAAGACAAAATAGCAATGCTGCTGTGATTAAGTCTATTCCCTGAAGGTCCATAGGATCCTCTGTTATTTCCAAATCGGATGTATCTACTGCTTTGTCTTCCTTTGATGCAGATAAGCAGTAATTTGCCAAGTAATTGTAGGTATGGTGAGGAATAAAAGAAAATACATTATTTCTGAGTTTTTCTTGTTCTATTTCTCTCTGTAGTCGTTCATCGTTACAGTCGTGTGACATATATATGTGGTCAGTGGTGCCATTAGACAAGCTGTGCAGAGGTATTTCATATTTAACTTGTGCTACAGGAACTGAGTTACAAACATTCACTGTGTTATCACAGGGAGATGCATTGTGAATACTATTTGCTACATTAAACTGGCTGGAATTACATATATTTAGTTCTTCATTCTGTGGCAGTTTCTCTGTGCTTGAATCATCTAGATGAAAGCCATTACATAAAGGGATATTATCAAGGCTCATATTCAGTTTATAGTGTTTTGTAGTATCGTAACAAATGTCACTTGACCCGTTTTGTTCTAATTGTCCATTTTGATTCAAAATATCCAACTTAATACCACCAACAGCTCCCATGCTATTTTCCTCTACAGAATCGTGTTCTATCATGGCTTGCATGCTGCTGTGTTCTTTTACACAGCAATCTGTGTTTCTTTTACATGGTAAAATACTGAGTTTTGAACTCAACAAGCTGGTAGCAGTATTTAGAATATCTAGAGCTGTAGCTAAACTTTTGGTTGTTTCCACAGTGGCTTGATAAAGTGCACCAAATGATTCCTCATCAACAGGCAATAACCCATTTGCAACTGTAGCATCTGGGGCACTTGCAACCGAAGATTGTTCTCTGGATTTTAATATGGGGTCAGGAGTTTTTGATGTCATAGTTGCAACTTTGAGAGATTCAAGAAGCATCCGTTGATCTTGAAGGGCAAGAGCCATATCCAACTGTTCAATTTCATCAACATCTTTACTTAGATTCTCATAAGATTTTCGATCCGCATAACTGACTGGCCATCTATTCCATTCCATGGTGCAGCATACAACACTTGCAGGACAGGTTTCTAGATGTTCAGCAATTTTATTTCGGGTTACGGTAAATGGGCAGCCAAAGCCACTGTTGAGACAAGGCACTCGTTCAAGTGGACATAAAAGGCGATGCTCTTCAGCTTTACATAAATGAAATACTGCTCCACAAACCATAGGGCAGCCAATTAAGTCACAGGAGATCCCAGCTTCTGATCTGGTCATACAACGCCGACTAATACAGTTGACACAATGTAAATGCTGAAGATCTTCCATGGTGGCAGGTTCAGTTCTAGATGTAGAAAACAACAAAGCCAGAGAAGATATCAAGGCTTTTGGTTGTAAGTTAGAACAAACTATTTCTGCAAGGAAGTAAAAGAAAAGCTAACATGTTCAAAATTAGAAGAAAATTTTGAATACAACTTTTTTTAAAAATTAAATGCATACTTTTATTTCCCCCCCTCCCCCAAAAGAAATTTAGGACTGTATGCAAAAACTTAAAACTATACAATGTCTTTACATGCTCATTTTTTATACATATTAAATTCGGAAACTTCTATATTGGCAGAATGCTATAGGACAATAGCCATGGTAGCAAAACATCTCTCAGGGTGTTTTATGGCAGACCTCAAACTGACTAGTTTGGAAAACTGAAATTTCACCTCCACCTTTATGCAAGAGATGAACTTGCATACATTAAAAAAATTAAGACAATTGCAGATCTCAACAAATACAATGAGATCCTAACAAATATTACACTTTTCAATTGATAAGATACTTTTTAATCTACCTCACATGTAGCCTGCATTTGCATAACCAACCTGTTTTCGTTTCCCTTCCCCTCTGCCTCAACCCAATTTAAATACTACATCAGTATAGCCACAGTATGGCTCTAGTGATGTAAGCCATAAAATGTGTTAGTTGGAAAAGGTGCTATTGCTATTCCAATTTATAGCAATAATGTAAAAACTTTGTAACTATTTAGAATCACATGGTAGAAATTTTTCAACTTCTCATTTTTCATCTGGTGGTAAAATGTAGAAATCTATTGAGTTCTTGACTTACTCAAAATTCAACATGGATGTAATACTATTATAAACTATATTTATATGTTAAATATTTTAGGTTTGTTTTATTTTTTCTTGGGACTTTTGAGTCAGTGTTGATTCCTGGCAACTATATGAAGAAGTCTTTGCAGTTTTCTAGGCCAGATTTTTAGAAATGGTTTATTACTGCCTTCTTTTTAAGGGTGACAGACTGACTGGCCCTAAGTCACCCAGCTGGCTTCATTTCTAAGGTAGGAGTAGAACTCACTGTCTCCAGTTTCTAGTTTGGTACCTTTAACCACTACCCCCATCAATTATTACACCAAACTGGTTCTCTTCAATCACCTACAAAATGTATTACGGCACAGAAATAGAATACAGCCTACAACATAATTTTAAATACCGTCAAATTTTCTCTGAACAGTCTTAAAGACAAGTGCATGTTTTTTTTTTATTTATAAGTTTACATTGCATTATTATATTACTGCATTGTATTATATTAGATTACTGTTACATCTAGTTACAAAATAATCACCAGCTTGGAGACCAATCTTATCTGAAAATCAAATTAATACATGTTGGAACTTACTTTTCTTCAGATGAGCTCATAGCTGGCATAGAAGAAAGACCAATCCCTACTGACACTGTAAATATGATATTTTTTTCTGGTGGCACCTATCACCAAAAGAAATTTTGATCAATCACCAAGCAACTTCAAAGACATGCATTTTGTTTGTTCTATATTTACACACAGATTATAGTTGCATTTCAAAGGTATACCAGTACATATGCTTTGATCACGTTCGTGGTAAATTTGCCTTGATTGGATATTATTAATCTGGTTCTTGGTAGAAAATTAAGTTTAAATGATATTACTGTGCTGCTAAATTATATCCCCCAAGTTTGCAATCTGTCTTGCCTTTGCACCCATTTTGTTAATTTGTTTGCATTTTTATATTTTATTTTGTTTGAATTAGACTGTAATTTTTTTTACTATCACTTATATACTTTTAACATAATTTGTGACATAATTGAAACTAATATGATTACAGAAACTTACATTTTCAAGAAAACAAAATAAGTTGGCAACTGGTCGTTCATGCTATATGCAGCCCCCAGATAATGTGATTGGATTTTAATGGAAAAATATGAGAAAAAACTATTGGTGGCATGATTTGGGATCTTTACTCCAAAGAATGAAGAATACCTGCAGGGCTTAAAATACTTGTTTTCTCTCAGACCTGTTCCTCCAAACTCTAAAAACTGATGGCATATATCTATAATATGATGTCATTTTACCAAGATCACAATATAATACCCAGAGTTGGAAACAAAATAGGCTCCAGAATTCTGAAATTCTACAAATACTGAGGATTCAGAGTAGGAAAATTACCCCTTTCAGTAAGTTTTAAAAACAGCTGTCTTATTTCTTTATTATCATGAGAAGCTATCAGTGTTGTATCTTCTGTTAAATCTATACTAATTCAGTCCAGTTAAAAGTTTAAGAGCCAAGTAGATTTATAAATAATCATCCCATGGGACTAGAATAATGGAACTTTGCCCAGAACAATGGCTGGTTAACATTATGTCTCTGAATTGTGAATAGTTTAAAATTTTAACAACTCCAGTGAGTTATCCTACATACTGGCTTAATTCATAGTGCTTAAGCATAAATTTGTTTTTTGACAGGATATATGAACCCACATATTATAGCTTCACAATATATATGAATAAAGCCACTAGTTATAAGGGCAGCCTTATAAATTTCTAAAATAATTCTTTAAAAACTTATTGATAAATCAGTTTAAACTTTCTGATTGTACAACAGAATCTAGAACATGAACAAAATGTTCAAGTACAAAATGTTTTTATCTCCTTCATTTACTATATAGATGACTATTAACATTCAAAAAGAAGTCCGATAGCACCTTTTCAAACTAACACATTTTATTAAAAGACATACGTTTTTGTGAGCTGAAGCTCATTTGTAACAAAAAAAGGGAATTTCATATAGAAAAAACATTGACCGATTTTAACATCCATTTTAAACATGTCATTAAAATCTAATTATTTAATATTAATCAGTATTTTCATTACACCATGTAAATAAATGTATGGATATCAGTCTGAACAGGCTAAAGTTTAACTTACGATTCTTCACCTACGTTTAACATAGTGAGGTTTATAGTCATTTTTAAATATCCTTTGGAATGTCCAATAAACATGAAATAAAAGCTTCTGTTAGCTTATTTTCATCTTAAGATCCTAAGAAACAAAGATTCACTAATTTGTTTATGTAGGATATCCCAACTCTTTTGAGTTCTTACAAATAACAACTATCTTACCAAAAATCTTCCACTGTTTATTTTAAAAACTATTTTAGAAATATCCTTCCACTGTTTATTTCTTTAAACATAATTTAGTTTTATGATGTGGTCCAAACACATCAGCAAAATCTAAAATCGCAATAAATTGTCAGTACTGGACAGTGTGATCCTATGTCTATTTAAGAAATGGCTTGCCATTTCTTAAATAGAAATGTCTGTCCAATTAACTAACACTTTTTCCACTGAGCTCCAATATGCTAAATACTAGAAATATATAGAAATCTTGATTCTAAAGAGGAAAAGGTTAGAATGGGAGAAGAATATTCACGTTGCATGTATTGGAAACTCCCTAATGAAGCTAATTTAAAAACTAATTTAATACCTAAATAACTAAGTAACTAGTAGAAACAAAGATGTAAGGAACCAAACAATATCTTAAACACCATATTTTTCGGAGTATAAGACGCACTCCCCCCCCCCCCAAAAGTGGGTGAAAATGTCTGTGCGTCTTATACAGCCAATGTTGCTGAAGCCCCGCTCACCCACCGGCTGTTTTCGGCCTCCGCACGTTGTGTTTTTGACCTGTACACATTCCCTTTTAGACTCATTCCAAGCTGTGGGAATTGCCTCCGTGGTCACGTTTTTGGGCTCCATGCATCACATTTTCAGGCTCCGTGCATCGGGTTTTTGGTCAGTTCCAGGCGGCGGCCAAAAACGTGATGCACAGAGGCCAAAAACGCGACTTGCAGAGGCGGCAATGAGCTGTGGCGATCCCCGCAGCCTGGAACAGCTGATTGGCAGTATTCCAGGAGGCCGATCCAACCACCAATCAGCTGCTCATGCTGAATCAGGCAGCGATAATGTGCTGAAACTGACCAGGCTTTTTGCTGTTTGCTGCAAGGATGCTAGCCAGATGAATACCGATGGATGCTGGTAGGCAGAGGCAATTTTTTTTTCTTGTTTTCCTCCCCAAAAACTAATGTGTGTCTTATACTCCGAAAAATACGGTAATATCTTGCCCACATCTCCTATATTGTAACAACTCTAACTTGAGCTTGACAATTCAAATTTGGAGAGTAAGAGTAAGCCATAATTATAAATGATGTTTGGAATGTATGCTTTATGGGAAAAGAAATTTGAACACACTTTGAATACTAACGTCAAACATGAATTAAATTACCAAGAATTAAACATTACTTTCTGGCATTCAGCATTAAAGTCTTATATAACAGTATTTATATGTATAGGTAGTCCCCGAGTTACGAATGTAATGGAGCCTGCCCATTCCATTCATAACCTGAGGATTTGTGGAAGTGAATCTCATACCACTCCCTCCTTTCGCCCGCACATTAACTAATCGAATGTGTGTACATGAGGTATTTCAGGGTGGGGAAGACCATGTGGGGGCCTACTCATGGAACAGGCCACCTGCCTAAGACCACCCAAGGCCTCCCCAACCCACTGTAATACCTCATGCTCCCCACAAATGCTTTCCCTCCCAACCTGCCGCGTCGGGTCAATTACCTTGTGAAGATGTAGCAAGCAGTCTCCTCTCCAGCCTCTCAGCTGTGTGTGCCCCTCTGAAGTTCCTTTCAGGTCTCTGCAGGCCTTACCTGGTAGGTTCCTGGCCGAAATGGAGCCTCCGGGGGCTGGATCCGCAGAGGCTCCATTTCAGCTAGAGGCTCCATTTCAGCCTGCAATGGGCCGGGGAAAGCCCGCAGAGGGCCAGAGTGTCGGAGGGGCAAAACCGCCCCTCAGAAGCTCCATTTCAGCTGGCAACATGCTAGGCAAGGCGCCTAGATGCCAGAACGGGGCTTCTGAGGGCCAGATCCACCCCTCATAAGCTCCATTTCAGCCGGCAACATGCAGGACAAATGTTGCAGAGCCTCTGCAGTTGTTTGTAAGGGCGAACAACTGCTGTGGTGCTGCAAGATTCATAGTTTCGGGCCTTGTTCGCAAACACTAGGGCACTTATTGTGTAAGTTTGAACGTTCGTGAAGGGAACACTCGTAACTCGGGGATTACTTGTATAAATAAAATATTCAGAAGATTTTTTTCCACATTTTTCTTTATAGAAACCAAATGTTGCATATATATGTATACATACTTGAATCTGTTCTCTGAAAAGTTGTGAGTCATAAGAAGTCCTGAAAGAAAAAAAAATTAGTCAATGAAACGTATATTTCTAGTAAACTCCTACATATTATTACAAGCATTACAGTGCCTTAGTTGATGCTGATTCATATTTCACAAGTGAATAAAATTTAAAATCTTGCATCTTACTCTAAAACAGACAGCCCACAGCCAAAAAAGAATAAAGTATACCAACTGTACTCTTTTAATCAATAGCAGCAGCTGAAATACTAAACGTATGAAACATATGAATAAGCATCTATTAATTTAGCACAGATAATCTAACCTTGAAGACTGGTTATGTACCTGGGCCAGCACCACCACCACCTCGAGCATGTTAAGAGCCTGTTTCCTATTAATTATATTTTTTCTCAGGTGATTGGTTGCTGCTCAGAATCATTTCATTGAGATAGATGGCATATAAATTTAATGGATGGATCTACAACAGAAGGCTTTCCAGCCTTTAAACAGATCCAGTAAAGAAGAATTTTTATAATTAATAAAATAAATAATTAATCCATTTAAATATATTTAGTCTTAACCTTCACTTGCTTTCTAGTAAATTTAAGCCATTATTTAAAATTTTAGTCACTGTATGATACGAGAATAGATTTTAGCTTTCTGTGTGACATCTTTTCAGATACTGAAAAAATGCAATTTCATATCCTTATCCCTGAAACTTTTGACATTATTAAACTTTTACCTTTTTGCATAGGTATTTGTATTTTCAAATGCCATGATCATCCTGTTATTTTCAGAATGAGTTTGTTTGTCTGAATTCTTTTTAAAACATGGTATCAAAAATGAACCTATCAGTTGGGGTAAAATTTAGTCAATAGAGAATAAACTAAAAAAGATAAAGGCACAAAAAGAAAAGAACAATCAACTTACCAGATTACAACTTTCCAAGAAACAATATAGCAGTGAAGTTCTTTTGTATAATCTCCATTCTTATTTTATTTAGATGTCGGCACAGCTAAAACACTACAAAGATACAGAATCATATGGATGAATTATTTTTTTTTAAAAAGCTCATAAAGCAAAGTCTGGAATATCACTAGATGAAAAAAAATTCATTTTAATTTTTTAAATTATAAAGATGTGAAGTAACTCCTTTTCTCTTTTAATTTATTAAACTCATAAAGTAATTAATGCAACCATGTAAACAACACAAATATGTGATTAAAATTGTAATATAAGATAATAACGTTTTAAACAATTCCTCCCCTTGTAATATAATTAAGTGCTTCTCCCCTACTTTCTTCCTCTCCACATCTCTCCAGATGTTTTTAATCTTCTTGCTGTATTACCTTATTGCCAGAATAGATTTTCACTGTTGTGGGTTTTTCTTCCTCCTGCAACAAAAACAAATTAAGTTCAATAAAATGTCACCTCTGTTTTAGTAGAGTTTTATTCTTTGGATTGAAATACACTTTGATGATCTGGGGAAAAACTGCACAGTCACATTCATCTGAATACTAATTTGAACTTCAAAACAAAAGAAACAATTTATTTATTTACAAAGGAATTTTCTCTTGATAAAGTAGAGAAAAGTGAGACAATGAAACATATATGGGCTATACCCAGCTCAGATTTGTCTGCCCATGCAACAGAAATCCACCATAATTGCAGATTTATTCACAGATGATCCAATCTCTTAACATATATTAATACTGAGCATACTCAATCTGTTTTCTGGAAATAGAACAGATTCGCAATGAACTGGCAAAATTTGAGCTGGTAATGAGTTTCTCGGCAAGAGAAGGGACTCAGAGACTGACAGAATCTAAGGAATTCCTAAATGCTATGAGGGGTTTTCCAGTCTCAGTGGTTAGTCATTCAGAGACCCTGATCATACTACCTGGTGTACTGTTACAATCCGAGAGCTGATAAAAGAGTACAAATGCTGCGTATCTTGTAGTGAATTAAATCAAGCATATATCAGGAAGCACACTCAAACCTATAGTATTGAATAGCAATGGTGGTAGATGGTAAAAAAAAAAAAAAAGCTCACTTCTGCACTATCACTGCAAGGTTTCCGAGAGAGGAAGTTGTGTGGATCTGATTTGTTCAAGACTAGCCACAAGGAAGTCTCATTTGAATACACTGCTCACATCTGCTCTTAGACACAGTTCTTGGGGATATTATTGACTTGGAAAGGGGTGCCATTTGATCAGAATGTATAAAATCACTTTCAGTTATTTTGACTAGAAGTCCACAAGACATTCAGTGGGTTAAGACAACTATCTGTACTGTGATTTCTAAAATTCAGCATGAATGGGTCCATGGAGAGTCAGTAACCCTTTATGAAAAAATCAGGCCCACTGCAACATTAAAGGTGATAATCCTCTGCATTTTGAAATTTTGGGCAACAAATGGCAGTTGCAAATATTACAAATATTCCTTTATTGGGGAAAGTGCTGTCCAATTATAAGCATGGTGGGGAGGCACTAACTACATAATTAGACTTTGATTTCAGACTGGCATATAACACAGAATTCTATTGCCTTGAATGATTACCATGAGAGAAATGCGACTGAATCTTCTGAAACTCTCAGCAAGCAGCCTGTAGACCCAATAACCATGAGATATCTACATGTAGAAGGTCTACATTTACATGATGTTTATCTAAAGATTTCAATATCTCTCCTTTTGAATTGAATCAGGGAAGATTGTACAGGCACTTGAGATTCTGATGGATTCATAAGCACCAATAAACTAAAGCCAAAGTCAAATAATACAAAGGTTCAGCAGAAAGAAACCTGGGAATTTAGCTTGTAGTCAACCAGGGAACATTCCTTCTGAAGGTACAGTTATCTTAACTGGGCTATCAGATACAAGTCAGTCTGGACCAAAGCAGATTAGTTTTGGCAATCCATGTTCTAATAATCTTTTTATTGCATAGAACTATCTATTCCATGTAGGGTGACTGTTGGAGACTGACTAGAAGCTATGTGATCCAGAAAAAAGTTACCTATTTGTTATGTGGAACAGTTATATGGAGCCATAAAGCACTCTTCCTTTAAACACTGCACTGGTTGTCCTTGAGCCACCATTCAATTTGTTTAACATTGGTCTGTATAGCCCTAGATAGTGTATGACCAAATATGCTTCAAGTAATGTCATATGACTGATGTATTTATATCAAATTTGAAAAGCTCGATTCATGATCCCATTGGCTGTTTCAGCTTATTGTGCAAAAGCCAAAAACCCAGTGCTAGTTATCCCAATTCATTATCCTTTTCCAATGAACTGAAACCGCTCTTAACTTAGAAATGTATAGGACAATATCTCTGTGTTGTTATTATGAGGATGGATGATTTTTAAAATAATCTTTCTGTTTAATTGTTACTGTTAATAATTATTGGTGTCACTGTCCTGATTTATCTAAGTCTAGCCTTTCTCCCCTCCTCCCCACAAATCTATTTCATGTGTAATTTGCTCTGGTTACTCTGGAAAGAAGGACAATATATAATTAAATGCTATGTCAGCCCCAAGCTATGAAATGCATGTCCTCAGTAATTTTATTTGGCTCCTGACTATCTCTGCCTTTAAGAATTGGAAAAAACCTATTTTTGTCACGTCTTTAACTTTAGCATTTTTTTTATTTTCTAATTTCTAATTTTAACAATATTAAACTTGAGAAAATTTGAATAGGAAAGTGAGATATAAATCAAATAAAGCCCTAAATAATGAACCACTTATTCTAATTATTATTATCAAATTTATCAGCACTTGATAAACACTTGTATTCAAGAACCGGTAACAAATGTCCAGTTAGAGAGCACTTTGTGATAGGGAAGTTTAGAGCAGGAAGTAGATGAAAGAAAAGCAATTATATCCCCAAAAATCAGCCTTCCCTTCTCAAGAATTTATCTCCAACAAATTTCCAGATCCATTAGTAAACATTTTATATATATATATATATACTCAGTATACTATACTTATATATATATATAATCTATATATATATATATATAATATATATATATATATAAAATCTATTTGTAGATTTGTAGTAATTCTGTAGTTAGATTATGACATTATAACTAATGTTGATGTGATGTTGCACACTTTCATAGAGCACTCTTGTCAATTGGGTGTTTAGTAACAGACATCAGAATACCAAATACTGGCAAAGAATGCAAAGCTTTGTTAATACTTTACAACCCTTCATGGTTTACTACTTAATTCTTCATAATCTTAGCATTAATCCAGTTGGAGTCAAAGATGCTGTCCTCTGCTATTCCACTGAACTACAAAAGACTACAGTGTCCCGTAAGTAGCATTCAATTATCATATAATTGGAATATAGAAGTGGACCTTCTTATTCATAATAGTTACATTCCAGCATATAATCATGGTTAATGAAACCACTTATGAGTCAGCAGGCCTATGAGACTTGGGAGTTAAGACCTGGAAAATGACCAAAAAAATTACAAAAAAAATCATGAAAAATATAAGGAAAAAGTTGAAATAAGGATAGTCTATAAAATTATTGAATCAAAATATGGAAGAAGGGAAGTACTCTTCCACTTGCTCCTGCTCTGAACTGTCAGTATTACTTCCTGATGGAACTTTAGTTGTGGTGGGTGTGACTATATTTAAAAGTAGCAGATAATTACGCTTTGTCAGGTCTTGCTTTTCAGAACCTGTCCTTGCAAAGTTGAAAAGCAACTTCTGCCTATTGAACTTGATGCTGTCGCCCATTAATGGGTCAAATTAAAACACTTTGTTCTCTATTACACTCCCCAGCTGCAGAACCTTTACCTTTTCTCTCAAAGGCAAAGCTTGCATGAACATTTGCCTCCGCAAAGTTCTCTGTTATACACTTGCTCACTTTCATTATGGAAGAAGTATGTGCAGAAAGAGAATGACTATAAAAAGTCAAAACAGTATAGATCACTGGGAAATTGGGGGAACAGAAGCCAAATATGTACCCTTTTACACGTGTACATAATGGTAAGATTCAGAACTGAGTGCCAAAAACTGCAGACAGGCAAAACCATTTACCACAGATAAGTTCTGGTTTATTTTATCAATGGAAGATATTTGAAATCCCAGAATACAAAGTCATGGATAATGAAGTCCAGGTACAGAATTTTCCCTTAATTGATAATCAAGATGTACTAATATTCCTTCACTTCTGTGAGTGAGCACTTGACCGGAGTTCCCATAATTGAGTCACCTTTACTTATTTTATTAGTTTCCAATTAAATCTGCATTTTAAAAAAATTACTAACAAAAAGAACAGAAATGCAAATAAAAAAAAGTATTGCAAATTAAATAAATCTTCTGCTGCTGTTTTGTAAACACTTGTGTATTAAATTGCAACAATACCATCCTTCAGTTCCTGGAAGTTGTATATGAAATATAGCAAGGTTCTTTCATCTCAAATTTCTAAAGCCGATAAATCCAACCTCTCATTTTCAATGTAAGTTTAATGAGAGAACATTTCCATCTACAGATATATTGTTGAAAGAGTATTCGAAATAAACAAACATATTTTAAGTTAATCTGCCAAAAGACAACCTTAGTGAGATTAGCCAAAATACCTCTGTCATATCCAAGGAAAGCAGGAAAAAAAAAGCCCAAAATACTGAAATGCTTAAATCTTTCCAATGTATGTAATTTATATCATTGAAGGATTTCTACCATATGCTCTTTACAATTTTGTTTCAAATTTCTTAAAGTGGTAGTATTTGTACTGTTATCTGCTGCAAAAAACTTTTAAAATTTTAGCAATGCATTTGAGGGACTTATTATTTTAGAAAATACTTTTGGCTCTCTCACTATTTGTGGATGATTATAGACTAAATCACAGTTGGGTTTAAAATTGAAAAATCATTCAAACTGGAGCCAAATCCATGAGCATGATTTTGAAATAGGTGGCTAAATAAAGTAATATTTCTGTGATTTCTTCCAGCCAACAATATCAACTTTTAATACAGTTCAACTATACTTTTGCATATAAATAATTATTTATTTGAGACAAATTATCTCTGTCTGTTGAGTAAAACTAGAAAATAAACATGGGAAATACAAGGAGTAGAATGTGTGCATAAGGAGCTGACTTATTATTCAGCAATGTATATTTAATTACACTGTCACCACATTCTTGTTTGCAAGAACCAAGTTTCGCTTACTGCAATGAAAATGCCCAATCATAATAACAGAATAATAGCCTTTGATATACTGTGCTTCATTAATGATCAAATCATGAAAAGCAGCTGCTCATTTCTGATTAGGCAATGTCAGCAAGTAGGTTCAGTTCATCAGATATGTTGAAGTACATGTGCTTGCCTGTTACCAACCAAGAAACCTAAAAATATACACAGTTCTGATGAGATGTACA